CCGCGGCCCCGGCCCCCTCCTGGCGCGCGCGTCCAGCCCTCGACAGGCGCTCACTAAAAATCGCGCTGTACGCCTCCTCAGTGGCGCAAAAATAAATGTCGATAACACGCATTTATTCTCTTGAGCGAGCCCTTCGGCCTGGGTCCGCAGTAAACAGGAGGCCAGAGAGGGAGGGTGAAGGGGAGTTGCCCGCTGAACGCCAGCACGGCCTGAGCTGTTCCTAGGCATCGCGTCGACGTGGTGCTTGCTGAGAAAAATGCCCCGAAGGAGGGGAAAAAGCAGTGTGAGGTCTCAAGCATTTCAACTGCCGTTTTAGCACGGAGGCTTCCTGCCGGCTGGGTGTTTACGTAGGGAAACTGGTCTCTGAGCGGCTTAATGAGTGAAGGTTTTCATAGGCAGTATGTTGTTATTCTCGGAGGTGCTGTGTGGCTGTGTTCACGACTGCTTCCAGCTCTTTGCAGCATGAATCAAAGCTTTCTTCTTGGACAACGTCTGTGGCTTGGCCTGCTCTTAAATATCTTCAGGCAAGGAGGAATAATTTTTAGAATTGTACTGCTTCTGTCTTTTTGCTCATGTTTCTGCGTATGATAGGTGATCTGCTGTGTTTTATGTTAATTTACATCCGTAATTCACTAATCAAAAACTACCTCTGGACAGTGGATGTACACTGTGAGGTAGGCAGGGCGCCCAGCTATTCATCGCCTTTGGGGGTAGTAAGTTTTGCACTGAAAAAACTTTTCAAATGGAGAGGCGTCGTCTCTCGTGGAAGTGAGGTTAATGTAGTCTTTAACACTGCAGATCTAATTCGAATTTATGGATGAAGAAAAGCTTAAACTGTGGTCCTCTTTTTTTTTTTAAATTTGATTTGATATTATTTTTTAGCATTCTGGAACATTTTTGTAGAGTTACAGAAATTGTCTTGTCTTTTGTTTATATGCTGTGACATACATAAGGCTTGTGTGAAATACTACCCAAGTGAGTATTACCCATCACAGTGCTTTGCCTCTCATATTACCTAAAGAGCTTTTAATAATAAAATAGTAGAATTTTTGTTGGTTTTTTTTTAACTTAAATTGCTTATTTATTGAAGCAAATGGTAGTCCATTGAATTTAATGAAAACATTGACATGTTTCCAGTTGCATGTGTTTTGATAAGTGTTGTATCAGAACAGATTTTTAAGGGGGAGTGTGGTGTAGGTAGTTAAATAAAAAATTATGTACAACTGGCTATGATCATGTAATGCTGTCTTTCTCAACATGGAGGTATTAGCTGAACAGCTTGATTATTTTTCCTATCTTCCTTTTTTCAGTTCCTGATTGATTTTCCGAATTGAGTTTTTTGTTACAATTGTTTTAGAAGATTTTTGACATCTTTGCTGTTTGTTAAATACATGTTGATTGATGTGTTCAAGACACAGCTTGAAAGAGGTCTCAAAACAGTTTGAGATTGTTCCAGTTACATAGCTTAAGGGGGAACCCTTTGTTTTAGGCTGAAAAGTGAAGTTCTAAATGGCAGCTTATAAAGCCTCGTTAAATGCTTGAGTTTTGAATGCTGTTGAAGGTAGTTCTTAATTTGCATTATTTTTTTTCTTGCTCAGAAAAGAAGAAAGAGATTTCCAAACGTAATAGACCTAACATGTATGAGAGTGCTAAAGTCGCGAGAAATAAAGCTGCACAGGGCAAGCTGAATGTGCAAAAATATGATAAGGCATGAAGACATAGAAACTATTTATGCTGTAGAATACTACTTAAGTACAGGGTCTGATTCTTTCTTTTTTCATGCTGAATAATGTCTTACACTCCAAACATTGCAAGTAGAACTACATGTATGGTAATGGAGTATATATTTTGAGAAAGGCTATCATGATCTGGCTGTGAGCTAGATCTTCAGTGACTTCGAATTCGAGTATGTTGGCTTTAATAATATTCATCATTTATGGTATGTTTCAAATCAACTAAGCATGTTAAAGTTACTTCTTTTAAAATACCAAAATATATTAAATAGAGTAAAATACAGCAAAAGGAATGATCAGTAGGGTATTAGCCTCTCCCCGCCCCCCCCCGCTTTTTTTTTTTTTTTAAAATCCCACTTTTATGTCCTGGTTGACTAAATCATTGAACAAGTACTTTGTTTTACACAACGTATTTTTTAAGCTTTGTGATTACTCCTTTCTTAATTTGATTTGTATTTAAGTGCTTTATTAAATAGCGTGTGAGCTTTTTCAAGAAAGTGCCAGTTAGATCAAGGAAGGTAAACACATCTTTAATGTCAAAATAGTCTTTTCCAGCTAAGTATGTGATGCTTTCTAAACTGGCAATCAGGCTACCTTTGGCTGCAGACCTATTAGACCTGCTGATTGAAGGGGTTTTGTGGCATGTCAAATGGGTGTTCTCTTCAGAGTGCTTCATTTAAACTAGCACTTAGAGACTGCATGGCACTAGTTGAAAATTATGGTGGCTGTAAGTGGGGGTTTGTTAACCCTATAGACCTTATGCAGACTTTATTTTTTGGTATAGATAACCCAGCAGGTTTTGCTGTAAGAAAATGAGAATGCTCCTTAGTCTGCAAACAGTGGTAGTCATTGTAATTTAAAGGAGAAGGCCAATAATAAATGAGATCTGTACCCTTTTCAGTAAATACAGCTATTTTAAAGATAAAATAAGAGAACAAGGCCTTAGTATGTAAAGTGTTGGTAAGAACTATTAATAGGAAAATATTTTTGTATTAACGCTTTTGCTGCAGAAATCCCACAATTGTTTCAACAGACTCTGTTGATGGTAGTAGTGGTGGGAGCCCATGCACAAGCAAATCTCTGTGGCCCATCCTGCGTGGCAGGGTACATACTGGTGCGTTATTTGGCTGAGCTATATGGTCAGGTTGGCTCAGTGGACAGATGATGGAAAGGTTTTTGCATTGTAGGCAAGATCTGTAGGCTTTTTTGTGTTGAAGTTGGTTACAGCTGTGGATGCGCGATCAGGACTTAATATGCTACTAAAGAGGCAGTGTGTTGTTCTAGTAACTGCTCTTTAGAAATAAGAAACAATGTCATTGTACTCTAAAAGCACTCGGTGCTAGTAGTGTTGTCTTTTGTAGCAATGGAAGCTTCAGGTATTCCCTTTCACCCCAGTGCTGCCTTGCACCAGGCGGCAAAAGGAATCAGGAACTTGATCTGCTCTTTGGAAGAAACAGAAATAACTAAAAAATCTGTGAGAAAAGTATTTGAGTTGTATCAGTTCCATAACCGTGCCATAGGATGACTTTACAAAAATGGAATACTTTTAAGATGGCACTGGTAAACAGGATACGTGTGGTATGCCTCTGAAGATGATCAGAGACCTCTGTGGGCAAGAAGGGATCCCTAATTCGGCAGTAGTTGGCTTCTGCTGCTTCTCCAGGAAGTAACGTATTGGGGAGCAACATGTCTCAAGTTCTGGACTCGCTGGATTCCCCTATGGTGTGCAGGATTTTAGGGGGAGCTGGATGTACCTGGGGGCAAGATTCAGCAGGTGATCATGGCCAGCAGTGTAAGACTTTTGTCAGGTTTCAGCTTCTCATGAGTTCAAGGCAGATACCGTGAGTTTCTGTAACGCAGAGGTGCCTGTCCAAGTTACCCTGTTCTAGATATCTGCAGAACTTTGATGGAAGCCCTTAACTAGCTGGAGCAAGATTCTCCTTATCAGCTACTATGGTGCATCTTCTGTGCATGGGACTCCTGATGAGTTTAGAAACATACTTCTGCTGTTTCTTTCTTTCCCCACTAGACCACTGCAGGAATTGCAGATTTGCTGTTAGGTTTACTGTGCTTAAAGTGAAGTCAGTGTTTCTAACTGCCAGTCCTGCAGGCTCTACATGAACGCTGAATCCTGCTATTCTCACTCATAGCTATATAGCAAAGATGTGTCAGATAAAACTACGTGTTCAGTTACCTTTGTAGAAAACATGCCTTTGTACAGGAGGCATTATTTGGCTTACAGTGTTGTTTTTTTTTTTTTAATTAGTGGCAGTTTGTGTTAAGAAAAGGACCCAGCCTTGACTTTAAGTCTTGACGTTTACAGGGCTGACAGTTTAAACTTCTCAACTAAGCAATTCTGATCTGCAGTCTTTCAGTCATTTTTAAAAAAAAAAAAATCACCAACCCCCCCCTTTATACCTCAGGTCCCATAATTTGGATTAGCAATAATCTTATCTTTAAAAAAAAAAAAAGTATTTTAATTTTAATTTTTGCCAGGTTTGTTAGTAGATGTTGTAGTATGGTGTCTTTCGCAAGATACCTCGGTGGGAAAACCGTGTGAAATTTATTCGTCCTGAAAAAGAGAAATGAGCAACAATAGTAAAAAAATTAGTGAACAGTCAAGATTTAAGATTATCTGTGAATAGAATTTCCTGTAGCTTTTCTAAATTGGCAAATTTCCCTCAAGTTAACATAACAGGCAATACCACTTCAGATGGGAGAGGGTGAATTGCAGAATCATTGAGGTTGGAAGGGAATTTTGAGACTATATAGTCCAATCCTCCTGCTCAAGCATGATCCTTGGTATTCCTTCAGCCATGAAATGCAATTCTTGGGTATTTTTTTGGCCATGAAAAAAATTTTTTTGATCTACTGAAATCCATATTGTATGGATAATTGTCCTTACATACCTATTGAATCAAAATTCGGATGGAAACAGTAATAAATTTTATGGAGTTAGCTGTGCCTTAATATACCTACATCACAATTACATTTGTTAAAGACAGTTGGATTACTGTAACTTATTTTCTTGTTGCATTACAACAAGTAGGACATTAACAAGTTAATGTTCTTTCTGAAAGTACCAAATTTCTAAGGTCAAAGATGGCCACCAGAGTTGATCAGAGTCAGACCCTGATATGTTAAAAGAATGGCAAAGCTCCCATTTGTCCTGTTTGAAGGGTAAGCTTTTTGTTACCTGGAAGCATACTAGACTCTTCAAAGATGGTGGTGCAGGCAGGAATAGTCATGAGTAAATAATATTTGAGCTGCCAGTGTGAAAAGAAACTGGTCCTAACTTTTTTTTTAAACTAACTTGGTATCCAGTGGCATATTAGAGTTTTGTTTTTTAAATTGTTCAAAGATAACACAGCTTTGCAATATGGTAGGTAACGCAGTACGGTGTTGTTTTATTAAATGTTCTCAGATCTGACAACTCATGCAGTAGCTCTTTTGACCAGATTGGTTTAAATTACCAAAATTGGTTTGTTAATTGGTGATAACATTTTGAAAGGCTTTTTAATGAGAGGATTACATTCGTTGAGAAAGTGTTGTGTTAGTGTAGTGTTGAGAATTATTACTGTGCTGTAAATTACCTTCTCTGCTATCTCTGTTGGAAGATGAGATAGCTTAACAGCAGGTTTGAATAGTTTGCTTTAGGCCACACAATTGAAGTAGTCTGTGCTGGCTAATATTACAACTTAAGGAAAAGCTGCTTACAAACATGGTGATTTTATAGTTTTATGTGTCATATTTGTTTATTTCTTTAGAGATAATTTTGAAATTGGGTGGAAAAACTCAATTTGCTGTACATAGTAACATAAGTATTACATTTTGTGCGTACGTGTGAAAAGACCTGATTTTTTTTTTTTCTCTGTGTCTTTACCCTAGATATTGAAGCACAAATTCGAGAAATTCAAGGAAAAAAGCCTGCTCTTGATGAAGCACAAGGAGTAGGCCTTGATTCCACAGGATATTATGATCAAGAAATTTATGGTGGCAGTGACAGCAGGTTTGCTGGATATGTCACTTCTATTGCAGCAACTGAATTGGAAGATGTAAGTGATTTTATGTTATTTTTTTTTTTTTAGGGCATGCATTCTAAGTATTTTGGAATTAATTTTGAGTAATTTTTAATAGCAGTTGCTGAAGTAAAAGCAGTTATTGTCATTAAAGCCATACTGGACCAAATATGTCTTATCCAGGAAGCTCATAAGTTCTAAGTCTGGCTTGTACTTCATTGAATTGTGCTTTGAAAGTCATGTAGGTCCAAGCAGAAGGCAAAAAGTTGTGGTCTGGTACTTAATTATTCCAGTCAAGACTAACACTGATTAGCTTTGTTCTGTTGTTGCTGCCAAGATGGAAAATGATGGTGGAAAAAAAATCTAAGAAAACTTGGGCCAACAAACCTAAGTGACTATTTTAAGATTTCTATTTCTACTTCATTTCAAATTTCAGAGCCACTTTTGAGAATTGGCTTTTTCACTGTATTGTGCTCTCCTTATATATCCTGTTTGTAAGATTACTGTATGTTAATTTCTAATGTTAAATATTTGACCACATTTTCAGTTGGAGGAGCAGTCAGAAACTACAGTTCTGACCATAAATACAAAGGCAACTACATATTACACCGAGTGAATGATGTTTTTAAGGTGAAGGAAGATTATTATGTTCAGTTTATACTAGTTGATATATTTTTTTAGTGATGTACTATGTGTCATTTGTAGACTTCTAAGAATTCCTTTATTAAAAATTTCCATTACAGGGTCTCACTGAAATCAGTTCATAGTTTTAAGAGCAGTTTTTCTTTGGGGTTGCTGTAAATTATTGCACAGAAACTGGCTACTAATATGAGGAAATAGCAAAAGCATCTTACACATTCTGAGTACTTGTTATGGCCATTGTGATTGAGAAGGTATAACTAAATTAACATTAATACATTTCTGAATTTTTCACTGTTTCTGAAGCTTTTTTATAGGGTTACTTACTGAAGTTTTGTTCTATATTTAGCTGGCTTTTAAGAAAAAATGGTTTGAATTTCTGTGCACCAGTTTTCACATGCCAAATAGGGCACTATATCAATAGTGCTAATATGAAATACAGACTTTTTGTATAACTAGTATAGACAGCATACTTGATTATATGTAGCATATTGCAAAATACTTGAGTCTTGTAGAGAAAAAGTCATCTTTTCAGTGATGTGGGAAGGTTTATATGATTTAGCAGTTTGGGAGTAATAAAACAAGCTATATGAAAAAGCTTGCTAAAATTTGGAATTAACTATTCTAGTCCATTTTTATCTTTTCTATGACCACAGTATATTAATTTGACATTATTATATCTAAATATAATACCAACATGACAAACTTGCCGTGTCTTTTTACTGACAGGATGATGATGACTACCCTTCTACAAGTTTGCTTGGCCAGAAGAAGCCAGGGTACCATGCTCCAGTGGCATTGCTTAATGACATACCACAGTCTACTGAACAGGTATGTCTAAATTGAAGGCACAATAAAATACTGTTGTAGGTTTAGGGGAAAGAAGTGTTAAAGTTTGTTGAGACCAGGTCTTGTCTTCTGAAAATACAAGATGTATGTAAAGGGTTATGGTATTTTAATTTGCTGTAAGCTTGTTACTGCTTTAGTTTAGAATTCCACAGGGCGCTAAAAATTGGCACTTCCACATGTAAAGGCAATGTGGGCATATACACTAAACATAAAAAAATTTTTTTTGGTAGGTCAGATACTTAAAAAATGAAAATAACTGGAAAACTTAATGTCCTTTACGCTTCTATTTTTGTAAAGAAAATGTAGTCACTTGGGTTTTATATTCCTGGAATATTTTTCTGTGAAATTTAAAAGCATATGAAGTAGCATTAAGTCCCCCTGCAAAAAGAGAGGGAAAGGTTGGCAGCATGAAATGCTTCGGTAAAAAGTGAATAAACTTCTTAAAATAGCAAATTTTTGTCAGAAGTTATTTTCATAAGAAATTCTATGTTAGAAAGAATAAAATTCCAGTTACAGAAGTAAAATCAGTATCAGCATAGTGTTTCAACATTCCTGCATAGTTGAGATTAAAAATAAAGTAGGCCTCTTTAGTAATACTGGAAATGAATACAGGCTTATGGTCACCAGACACTTTTCATATTGTTCTTCATATGTATGTGACTAACAAGCTTTTTTTGGTTTTTAGTATGATCCTTTTGCAGAACACCGTCCTCAAAAGATTGCAGATCGGGAAGATGAGTACAAAAAGCACAGGCGGATGATGATAATTTCCCCTGAGCGTCTTGATCCTTTTGCAGATGGTAATTTATTTTGACTTTTCTATACCCTTTATGAAATTTGTTGTCTTTAATTGTCTTTAGCCCTTTGATTTCTGTTGGCATGCTTATAAACTTAGTTTTGTTTTAAACATCCCCTTTTCATAGAGATTTGGTTGAAAACTTAGATGCCATATTCTTCATCTTTATAATACAAGTTTTCTTTCCAGGTAGAAGGACAAGAAAATAATGAGCCATTGCCATAGAAACACAAAGGGTTAAAGGTTTCTCTTTTCATTTTGTTTTGGGTTGTGCTTTATACTTTGAACAACTTGTGTATTGAGTGCTCAGATTCTTTCAGTACCTTGAAAGTTTTCATTCCAAGTCATAGATTTACAGGGTTACTGCTTTTGAAATGCTAGTTCTCAAAATAGAGCACCTAATTCTTACCATCCTATGTAAACTTAGGTGGTATAGCTAAAAGAAACAAAAGCATATATAAGACTTTGATACTATTAATAGTTCAAGTCTGTTCTGATAATTTTAGAATGCAAGTCAGGAAAAGGGGTATTAGTGGGTCTGACAGAAACTTTCTTCAGGTGAGTGAGTTTCACATGTGGCAATAAGGTGCCTGTTGGCTTAAAATTAGTAGCTATTTTGCAGGTTTTACAAATGAGAATTTCAGCCTGCATGAATTAATAGGGATATTAATTATTTTACTTGCTTAATTGTAATTGATATAAACATGTATTGTCAGAATTCACAGGCCCATACTAACTGTCCTTAATTTCTTTCCTACAGCAGTACTGCTATATGCCAGTCCTGTCTGCATTCTTAAGGGTGCAGTTCAACACATCCTGTGTAGATTATGGTGAAAAAGTATTCCAAAGGAAAGTCCTATCAAAGCTAGTGTCAGAATGACACAGCCAATTGGGCAATGATCTTCAGCATAGAAATGTTTAAGAAGTTTATTTTTTTTCCCTAAATTATAATGCTATACCACTTGTATAGCAAATCTGCACATTTTTCTTAAAGAAAAGTGTTTTTCTTGACAAGTCGTATTTTTATAAAGTTGGGCTTCTTGTAAAGTATTTAAAAGTTTAATTAACGCAAGATACACAGCATAAAACAACATATGGTATACAAAACCCATTACCTGTGAGTATCGTTGTGGTGGTGTATGTACTGTATTGCATTCAGCTCCCAATCACAATTGTACCTTGAGAAGAGAAGAGGGGGAAAGTGTCATCAAACAGTTTTTGGGGTTTTTTGTTTTGTTTGTTTTTTTTAAATGAAGCCCTTTTATGATATGACACTAGAAGATCTGGGAGACATGTCCAGATTTGTCAAACTTATAAATGGGTCTTTATGATAAAACATTTTAAACATAGGTATGCAATAGTTATTTATAGTCAGATAACAACTAGGATTTAACAGCTTACACAAGGTAATGTTTTGAATATAAATATCTTTCCAAAGTGTTACTAATGGTAAAGAGATAATTTTCTAGGCTTCTATTCTGCTGCTTGAAGTCAGAACTGCTGATGGAGACAAAGGCACGAAAGTGTACGTATTCCGGATTAGCAACCCAGGAACCCATCACTTCTGAAGACTCTTAACTGTGTTGTCATTTTATCATTTATATCGGCTTTAAAATATTTGTTTGAAACTGCAGTAGTTATGTTTGTGTTCAAACAGGTTAAATTGATCAGCAAACTGAATAAACGTAAGATACATGTAATTTTTAAAATTTTCGATCAAAAAGTAAAATTAAATGATCATGGAATAATATAATATTAGAGCAGGACAATAGAAGAAATCAATAGTTTCTGCTTATCCTATACTCATTGTGCTCCATTCCTGTTGCTGTTCTCTTCCGCAGGAGGGAAGACACCAGATCCTAAAATGAATGCCAGAACGTACATGGATGTTATGCGTGAACAGCATTTAACAAAAGAAGAGGTGTGTGGGGGGGAGGGTTTTCCACTTGAACTTAGTTTAATTTTACAGCCTTGAAAGCATGTTAAGAAAGTGGAAATGGAAATTCTGTTGACTTTTTGTCTTGGCTTAGAAGTCTTTTTCTTTGGAAAATGCTGTTCTTCACATGTTGAAAGTCAGTAGAATTTAAAGATGAAAGTTTTGGAAAGCTTCTGTTCTTACATAACACCTAAACAATGGAGGGAGAAATAGTCTCAATATATTTTAATCTGGAATTTTTTATAGCAATTGGACTTTTTGTGGTTTATTTTCTTTCAGAGGATGAGAGACAAAAACTAACAGTCACTGAGGGGTATTCAGTGTCAGAGATGTTTGGTTTTATGAGCTTTTGTGTAGAGGGAATCCAGGGAAGTTTTAAAAGGCTTTTGTTGAAGCATTTACAACAGATGTTGCAGTACTAAGAATTCGTTTAAGGTTGACATTAGCTTTTAAATACTAAAAAAAAAAAAAATAATTAAAAGTACGTGCTTTATTCATGGCTATTAAAAATTCATTTTAATAGGTAAGAAGATCCTGGTAATATAATAGAATTTCTTGTGTAATACCTACAGTGCCATCTTGTTAATTGGAGCAAGATCTTGTAGTTCCAGTGACCTCTGTAGGTTTATATTGATTTACCCTACTTGTCTTACCTTAATTGAGGAATTAATTCATAATTTTGACAATCTTACTGTCCATGGACCCATTGATAAGTGAAAAACAGTCTGGGTTATTGTGCTGTTTTAACAATGTCATCTCAGAATTTTAAATAAGAATTTCGGGGCTTTTTTATGTCGTGGGATATAACTCACATGAATACATTTTCTAACTCATCCACCTTTAATTTACTGAAATGGAACTTGTTTCAAACAGATGTGTAATGATTTTAAGGCATACATATAGGTGACAGAAACTGATAACACTCAAAATTCTCCATGCATTTGCATTTGTTGTAGTAATGGCTTTTATAAGAAATGAATTTAAAAACAGCGCCTCCAAACATATAGCTGCTCTGTCAGTATAGAAGAATTTGAAAAGATAATGAACTTTAAATTAAAATAGTAGCTAATTGCATGTTATTTGAGCAAAACCTCAAAAAATAGCATAACAAGATACGATACAGCTGAAAAATCTCTTTTAAAGGTCTAATCTGAAGAAGCCTTCTTAAGAAATCTGTTTCTTATGTTTGTCTTTTTGTGCCCTTGAATAGAGGGAAATTAGGCAGCAACTAGCTGAAAAAGCTAAAGCTGGAGAGCTTAAAGTCGTCAACGGAGCCGCATCTCAGCCACCTTCAAAACGCAAACGGCGTTGGGATCAGACAGCTGATCAGACTCCCGGTGCTACACCTAAAAAATTATCCAGCTGGGATCAAGCAGAGGTAATAATCCTAGTGTTCATCAGCTTATCTACAGAAGACATTATTAATGCTAATCCTCTGGAATTTCAGAAGTTTCTTACTGTACAAAAAAGAGTAACTAGCAGTCTTTTACTGTATAGTATGAGAGACATTAATACTTCTGGTTTTGTCTTGTGTAGACTCCTGGACATACACCATCTCTGCGATGGGATGAAACTCCAGGCCGTGCAAAGGGTAGTGAAACTCCTGGTGCCACCCCAGGCTCAAAAATATGGGATCCGACTCCCAGTCATACACCAGCAGGAGCTGCAACACCTGGACGGGACACGCCGGGTCATGCAACACCAGGCCATGGAGGTGCCACTTCCAGTGCACGTAAAAATCGATGGGATGAAACACCTAAAACAGAAAGAGGTATTTATGGCGAACTGGAAAGCGTGTAATAAGTTTTGAATGGTTGATTGTATAGGATTTTTTCACCTTAAGTAAACAGTAGATTCAGAAGTCAGGCAAGAAGTAATTATATTCTGACATCTAGTGGTTGATGTGAAGTGATGTTTTTGTCTGAGTTTGTAGCATTGAATTCTGCCTGTTGAGTAAAACTCATGTCTGTAAAAGCCCCTTGGCTCAAAAATTGAATCAAAGTTTTGTGGTATATCTAGTGACTGCTGCAGGCTGGGATTTTAATGTGTAAAGGACATAGTAAAGGAGCTCACGTTGAATTGCTTTTTGTGATACATTTATGTGTGTGGTTTTGAATTCTAATTTTTTTGAAGAGGTTAGCATTAAAACAAGTTTTGGAAGCATTTTCTCACCTGCCTAATTTGAATGAAGCTCGTGTGTCAGAACAGTGAAACACCATTGTTCCTTAATGCTTTTATCAAGGGAGTACGTGGACTACTTTGTCCAATTTCTAGACTGAGTTCTTTAGTATTTTTTAGAATTTTATCTATTTATGCTAAGATTCAGCAAGAAAATGACATGCTTTTTTCATAAAATGAAAGCTCTCTGTTGGATATTCTTAGTGTAATGCCTGTGCTTTTTTAATGTTCTCTGAAGTAGTCTTTACTTTTTGTCTAGTGTATTTGTTTATTTGATACTTGATTTGTGTAGACATGAGGACGAGATATTGAAAATGGGTTTGGATATTGATCCTATAGTTGGAGTGTACACTGTTCAGCTTTCTGCAAAAATTGTTTTGTTTTTCCTTAGATACTCCGGGACATGGCAGTGGATGGGCTGAGACGCCTCGTACAGATAGAGGTGGTGACTCCATTGGTGAGACACCAACCCCAGGAGCAAGTAAAAGAAAGTCACGATGGGATGAAACACCTGCTAGCCAGATGGGTGGCAGCACTCCTGTTCTGACACCTGGCAAAACACCCATTGGTACACCAGCTATGAACATGGCAACTCCTACACCAGGTAAGGCCAGTCCATTCTCTAAGGCTTCATTTTTTTTCTGTGGAAATGAAGCATTTACCTTTATATTGTATTTTGAAATAGACTTCTGCCTAACATGGTTTCCTGCCTGTATGAAAGTGGTCAGTATATCCTCTGCTTACCATTTTTAATGCCCACAGCACTCAGTTCTGGAGGGGAATCAAGACTGAGGTTATATGTCTATTCCTGTTCAATTTAGTTGGTAAAAGATTGATAAAAGGCTCTCTGAAAGTTTGATACCTTACTGGCTACAGATTTCAGGAAACTTTGGCTCAATAGTGCACTGAAAGGTTAGGTAAACAAGTCATCTCCTTCTGCATACAGAAGATTTTTCTTTTTTTAAATCCTTTTTAAAATTTTTTTTTTATTTATTTGAATATAGGTCATATCATGAGCATGACTCCTGAGCAGCTGCAGGCTTGGCGTTGGGAAAGGGAAATTGATGAGAGAAACAGACCACTTTCTGATGAAGAATTGGATGCTATGTTTCCAGAAGGATATAAGGTAGTTAATCTGGATTAAAATGCAGCAGACCATGATGGTTTTTTTTCTGCCAGGTGATATTGGGGTTTTTTTGTTTTGTTTTGTTTTTTTGTTTGTTTTTTTAATGAAGTTGTTCCAGAAGTAGAATGTTTCACATTAAGTATTGATTATTGATTGCAGATGTTTGTTCAATTCGGTTACTGATTTATTGTAAATCAATTAGAAAGGGAGAATGAAAGGTGATCTCAAAGGGCAGTTGTTATTCTGCTTCTTAATGTTGGGAATGCCTGACAAGGCCAGAAATGAGCTCTGAATGGACTGATAAAAATATTAAGTCCAGATGTAGAAAAACATAGAAGAGAGTCACAAATTCTAAGTCAGCATGTACACTGTGTTGATATAGATATTGAAATGCTTCTTTAATACTTTGTAAAGAGATTTCAAAGTTTATTATCCAAGCTCTCAGCAGTGGAAGTGAGCTTTCTTCGGAAATACCGTCAGTACAGGATAAGCATGAATACAAACTGTCACGGTGAATTTGTTTGTATTGCCGTGAACATGGGATGTAGTGTATGCAGTAACACTCGCACAAATCCCCAAACAAATAAAATGGAAGATATAAGTTTAGTAATGTTTTGTATTTGATGCCTTCCTCTTTTTATATTTGTTGTGATAAGATGAATTTTGTTCTTTCTTCAATAGGTTCTTCCCCCACCAGCTGGTTATGTACCTATTCGCACTCCAGCTCGTAAGCTTACAGCAACTCCAACACCTTTGGGTGGTATGACTGGATTCCACATGCAGACAGAAGACCGAACTATGAAGAGTGTTAATGACCAACCATCTGGCAATCTTCCATTCCTAAAACCAGATGATATCCAATACTTTGATAAACTGCTGGTAAATGAGATTTCATGCATGCTGATTAAAGTTTCCTGATTTCTTTTGAATATGTAGCAATGCCTGTTTCTTTGTCTGGAATTATTTGTAGGTTGACGTTGATGAATCAACTCTAAGTCCTGAAGAACAGAAGGAGAGAAAAATAATGAAATTACTTCTGAAAATAAAGAATGGCACACCTCCCATGAGAAAGGTGAGATGAGTTGTCAGATGCGTTTGTGTAATTTCGTTTTTCAAAAATCTGCGTTTGTTTTAAGGTTTAGTTTCAGTTGTCCGTGGGATTTCCTTTAAAATAACGTCCTAAACTTTGATATCTGTTTAGTGCTTTCTTCCTCTTCTGTATCTGTGTGGCTTTTTGTTTGTCATTCAATGTAATTTAGTATTGCTACTCTTTGTACGGTAATGTCAGTCACTAAATAGTATATGGCTTATATAATTTTTTTTTTTTTTTTTTACAATTATGAGAAACTAGATTTATGGTGCTTTTTGCTTACAGGGCGTCGTCATCATCTGGATTTTGCTGCTTACACTTAAATTAGCAATGTAGCTCTTAGTTAAGTTTCAGCCTTACACATTATGCAATACATTAGGAGTCTGTTCTGCATAGTTTTGCTCTAAATTGACCAAGGCACCAAGCTGCCTAAACGCAAATAAGTGCTGTATAAGCTACTTTTCAGATGGCGCTGTTCTTAATATTAGACCAGGAGCATGCTTTTCTTGAAAATGGAACAGCTGGGAGCTAACATCAGGGTGTTTCTCTTCACGCATTCATTTTTCAACAGATCAGCATAAAATTGTTTGAAGTAGAGTTTTGCAGTAGTAGGAGCGAATATTTTGAAGCCTGTGGTTACAGTGAATTACATTTTAACTTGGTTAATATCTACCTGTTTTGTAGTTGTTCAGTGTTGTTTCCTTAGTTTAACTGATAGGCTGTTTGGTTTTGTTTAGGCTGCGTTGCGACAAATTACTGATAAAGCTCGGGAATTCGGAGCAGGGCCGTTGTTTAATCAGATTCTGCCTCTGCTGATGTCACCAACACTTGAAGATCAGGAGCGTCACTTGCTTGTCAAAGTCATTGACAGAATTCTTTACAAACTGGATGACTTGGTCCGACCATACGTACACAAGGTCTGTTGCAGTTTACTATTTCATCTTTGATTTGGTTTTTCTGATCATTGCTGGGAGAAGTGTGTACTTTATTTGCATATCAGAAGAGGATGATACCATGTTTTTTTAACATAATTGGCTTTCATATTTCTTCTTAAGCCAAACTTTAAGTTCTTGTAGTGTGATCGAAGTGTGGGCTTTATAGTACTAAGGCATGATGTAAAAATGATATATGCACACCTGGGGGTGGGAAGGGGATCTTAATCGGATCTAGGTAGTATCTCCGGGCCAGGTCCTTCAGAGACAAAGAGCTGTAAAAAGAGCATAATAGATTTAAATTTTTTCTGGTCATCATAAAGCTTTAAGCTTGGATCCATGGAATCATCTCTGTTTCATGGAATCTAGTAGGGCCAGAAATACCACTAAAAGTATTAATGAAAGGAAATATTAATTTGTTTATCTTTTTCAGATCCTTGTTGTCATTGAACCACTGCTCATTGATGAAGACTATTATGCTAGAGTGGAAGGCAGAGAAATTATTTCAAACTTGGCTAAGGTAAAGTTCCATCCATCCTTCATTAAGGCACTGAGTTAGCTTACGTATAGCTGCATGTTTACAGGCACGGCAGAAGAATTAACTGTGCTGTTCATAAATCCAATTGGTATGTTTTGTATGTTTTTCCTTCAGGCTGCTGGTTTGGCAACAATGATCTCCACAATGCGACCTGATATTGATAATATGGATGAGTATGTCCGAAATACAACAGCTCGAGCCTTTGCTGTTGTTGCCTCTGCTTTGGGCATTCCTTCTCTGCTACCCTTCTTGAAAGCTGTCTGTAAAAGCAAAAAATCCTGGCAGGCTAGGCATACTGGCATCAAGATTGTACAGCAGATTGCTATTCTTATGGGATGTGCTATCTTGCCTCATCTCAGGAGCTTGGTTGAAATTATTGAACACGGTAAGTTCTGCTTTCCCAGGCAAAGTTTTTTTTTTTTTTAATTCACTTTATATTTGGAAAATTTTTCATACCCCAGTGAGGCACAGTGATAGTAAGGTCCTTGTTTTGTATGTTCTTTTGACACTGAGAAACAGTTCAGCTGACTCTGAAAGAGGAATAGTGGTTCAGTTTTCCTGAAAATAAGTCAATCCTTTTTATACTGCCCCTCTATTTTTACTATTTTGAACTTAAGTCACAAGAAGTACAAGAAGTGGTACTAAACACTGTTCTCTTGCAGGTCTGGTGGATGAGCAGCAGAAAGTTCGCACCATCAGTGCTTTGGCTATTGCTGCTTTGGCTGAGGCAGCTACTCCCTATGGTATTGAGTCATTTGATTCTGTTCTGAAGCCTTTATGGAAGGGTATACGTCAACACAGAGGAAAGGTATATCTAAAATACTTTAGTTTGAACTGAAACGGATTTATATCTTCTGTGACTCATTAGAGTTGTATTTCTGCATTTAAATAGGGTTTGGCTGCCTTTTTGAAGGCTATTGGTTACCTGATTCCACTCATGGATGCTGAGTATGCAAACTATTATACCAGAGAAGTCATGCTAATCCTTATCAGAGAGTTCCAGTCTCCTGATGAAGAGATGAAAAAAATTGTGTTGAAGGTATGTCAGAATGATTGTTTAGCATTAATACTGAATATGTATGTTTTTCCTTTTCTTAACAACAACAACAACAACAACAACAACAACAAAACCTACCCCCAAACCACCCAAAAACCCAAACCCTACAGAGATTTAAAATTGTTGGATTTTTATTTCCTGTCAGGTGGTAAAGCAGTGTTGTGGTACGGATGGTGTTGAAGCAAACTACATTAAAACAGAAATCTTGCCACCTTTTTTCAAACACTTCTGGCAGCACAGAATGGCATTGGACAGAAGAAATTACAGACAGGTATTTTGTTTTTTTAATTGGAAAATTATTTACAGTAGAACAAAATTCACATTAGAATGTTCGTTCAGGCTAGATGCTTAATTTTGTCTTGTATGTCCTGAAACTGAATTTTGTTTGGACTAGCAATTTAGAAGTTGCATAGATAGAAGATTCACAGGTTCTTAGGAGGCTATCAAGACATTTTACACCTGTGAATATGAGTCTACATCAGTTGTAAGGTGGGGTAGTTCATCCCTTTTGTGTTCTTTAAAATGTTGGATGATTTCTAAAGGTAAAAACAGTTGTTTGTAGTGGGCTTAACATGCATGATGCTGTTTCTCCTCTTCAGACTAGGGAAATTTATTTTCAAGATGTAGAAAGTTGGTTTTAACAACGCATACTTAATTGCTTACTTAATTGCTTACTTAACATTTGTATATTTCAGTTGGTTGATACAACTGTGGAGCTGGCAAATAAAGTTGGAGCAGCAGAAATTATTTCTAGAATTGTGGATGATCTGAAAGATGAGGCTGAGCAGTACAGAAAAATGGTCATGGAAACAATTGAGAAGATAATGGGAAATCTGGGGGCAGCAGACATTGATCATAAACTGGAAGAACAACTTATTGATGGTATTTTGTACGCCTTTCAGGAACAGACCACAGAGGTATGGCCAAGGGTGTTTAGTATTTGGTTCACTTTAATTGTAAGCTACCCCACTGTTAGTTATACAGAAATGTATGCTTCGAAGTTAGATTTTTAGAATCCTTTTTTAGATGTCAGTGCTCTAATCGATGAAATCTGGAAACAAGCTCTGGAATGTTAGTATTTCAATAGCAGTTTTAGATGATGTCAAGTTTCATTAAAATGTAGTGTTGCTGTTGGTCTGATTTTCCTGTGTTATTTTTACACTCAGGATTCTGTGATGCTGAATGGTTTTGGCACAGTCGTTAATGCTCTAGGCAAAAGAGTTAAACCCTACTTGCCACAAATCTGTGGTACGGTTTTGTGGCGTTTGAACAACAAATCAGCTAAAGTTAGGCAGCAGGCTGCTGACCTGATCTCTCGTACTGCAGTTGTCATGAAGACTTGTCAAGAGGTATTGTATTGACTTGTCCTACCAAATTTGCTGTAGTATGTCATAGTAATGAGGGGGGGGTGGGAAATTAACTTCTAAATATTTTTACTTGGTTGTAGGAAAAACTGATGGGACACTTGGGTGTTGTGTTATATGAGTACCTGGGTGAAGAATATCCTGAAGTACTCGGCAGCATACTCGGCGCACTTAAGGCTATTGTGAATGTTATAGGTACGTTTGTGTATTGATTACATGCCTGTTCAAGAGCAAAGTGAAAAGGTGTTACAAGACTAAATACGCCTCTTTGAATTCACTAGGTATGCACAAGATGACGCCACCAATCAAAGATCTGCTGCCACGGCTTACACCTATTTTGAAGAACAGACATGAGAAAGTACAGGAAAATTGTATTGATCTTGTTGGGCGCATTGCAGACCGGTAAGTTGACTAATGATAAAATATTTGACCCTCCGTGTGGGCAATTGTAGCAAAAGCTAAAGCTGAGTATCAGGTTTGGCATCTGGTTATTTATTGTCATATCTCTTGATATTTCTTAAGTTGTGCAAAAAGATGAGATATTTAGCGGACAGTGTTGAACATATTGTAATTATATTATTTTGCAAACGCTTTGTAAGAAGTATGTTGTCCAATGCAAACTTAGAATGCACACAACATAATAAATTTTGAGTACACTGTTAACCAGTGAAGGTCTAATGTTAACAGGTACCTAATTAAGAAAAGTGGTTAAGCAGTATCCCTCTGTTGATAGCAGATGAATAGGTGCTGCAATTTATGTGGTTTTATTTAAAAACTTCTAATATAACTGAGGATGTAACACTTTATTCTCTTTCAGAGGTGCAGAATATGTTTCTGCAAGAGAATGGATGAGGATCTGCTTTGAACTGCTTGAATTATTAAAAGCTCACAAGAAAGCAATCCGAAGAGCCACAGTGAACACTTTTGGTTATATTGCGAAAGCTATCGGGTAAGTTGCTCTAATACTTATCCTCTTCTACACACAGTTACCTTAACATTGTGATGACTGTGGGGTTTTTTTGGTGAGAGATATTCAAACTTCTCTACATTTAACATGTTAAATGTGTAGACTTGATTTTACTCATTTTGTAGAAGGAAAATACAGTCACCTATTCTTCCTTAACATAGGGTGCTGCACTTCTAAACTAAATTTGTAGACAAGCAAGGTTAGAGTATAATTTGGTAGTAAGAGCTGTTTGTCTCATGAATTTTTGATACTGTGATATGCATTCAGACCGTCTCTGTATTCTGTCATAAACTCTCCTTTAAATACTCAATCTTCTCTTCTCTTGTTTGTCCCCAAATCAATACTTCTAGTGATTTGCAAGGGATTTTTTGCCACTAAGGTGATACTGCAAGTCAGCAAATTGTAGAATGAAGCACAATTCCCATCTTTATGCATATTCTTAAATAAGTGACCAATTGCTGACTTAATGCACATACAGCAAGCAACCAAGGAATGCACTGTACACGACATTGCTTATCTCTGTCAACGTGCATGGTTTTATACAAGTTTGTAATTACCTGTAGGATCAGAGTAATAGTGGGGAGGCTACTGCTATCCTCCAGAGTTTACAAGAGGCAGAACAGAAGGCAGGAAAAAAGCTAAGTTTAGAGAAAGTAAAAAATGTTGGTCATGAAAATTAAGATCATGCAGTTGCTTAAGCTGTTTTACAGTTTCGTGGTTTGTATTGTTTCCCAGTTACCTAAACTTTTTTTAAAGGGCTAAACCATGCTTTTCTGCCACTTGCTGTTTGAAACTCAACTAATTTTATCCAAATCCTCACTGAATCTATTGACGTGGACGCGCATGTTATCTCTTCCAGACCTCACGATGTATTGGCTACACTGCTAAATAACTTGAAAGTACAGGAAAGGCAGAACAGAGTGTGTACTACAGTAGCAATTGCTATTGTAGCTGAAACATGCTCACCTTTCACAGTGCTGCCTGCACTCATGAATGAATACAGAGTTCCAGAGTTGAATGTCCAGAATGGTGTGTTAAAATCTCTTTCTTTCCTCTTTGAATACATTGGAGAGATGGGAAAAGATTACATTTATGCTGTTACACCATTGCTTGAAGATGCTTTAATGGACAGGTGAGTGCATTTCTTACTATCTATGGTACAGTTAGCTGTGGCCATATATTTTAAGTATGTAGCTGAGTCTTAACAGTAGCAAATACGCATATTTTCCTTGTTTGCTGAAGATGTTAAGTGACCAGCATAATTTGGAAGACATTGTCTGCAAATAATTTGGATTATATGCCTCTATTTTACTAATACTTATGGAGATTGAAATGATACAAGTATCTTAAGTGAGTCAAGACTTCTTACATTCAGACTGCTTTTGATAATTTCTATTGTTATACTTTTGCTGTAGAATTAGAATGCAGTAGTTTGTCAGAAAACTCCCTCTTTTTTTAATTTACTGATTTTTTTTTTTACTCTGCCTCTTGCTGTCAGTCAATGTGGGTTAAAAGTGTATATTGGTGCTTTCAAAAAAAGTGTTATTGAAAAGAAGTACTATGTTTGTCCAATCATGTTGCTTCTAAGTATAATTTATTAACAGACCATTGTTCTCTTTGCAGGGATCTTGTACACAGACAAACAGCCAGTGCTGTGGTGCAACATATGTCTCTTGGTGTTTATGGGTTTGGCTGTGAAGATTCTCTTAATCATTTGTTAAATTACGTATGGCCTAATGTGTTTGAAACCTCTCCTCACGTCATTCAGGCAGTTATGGGGGCTCTGGAGGGCCTCAGAGTTGCTATTGGTCCCTGCAGAATGTTGCAGTATTGTTTACAGGTATGTCCTCACGTATGCTGGGGTAGCAGAGACAGCAATTATCAGGCAGGACTTCTTTCCAGGAGACAAAAAAGTCAACTGAAGATTGTTTCCAGCAAAGGAAAACAGTGTGGCTTTTAGTCTCTTTAAAGTATTCTTTAAACGTGGCATTCTGTACCAAGGACTTCAGTAATTGAAATATGCAACAAATGAGATTTTGGTTTTGCGAGATAGCTGAATACATTAAGGAACTTGCATAGAAGTAGCAGGTAACTTAGAATATAAATTGGCTAAAATACGGAAAATTGGCTAAAATGGAAGCATCTCACAAATTTTAAGGACACTAACTGATGACTGGGGAATAAATTAATAGTGCAAGGACTTACGAGAACAAGTAACAAGTGAGAGAAATAAACGAGAAGATAGGCTTAATATTAAATCAACATTATTTGTCATTAGCCAAGAAAAACAGCAAGACATTTGAAAGTGTGTAAGAGTGAAGCACTAGAAAACAGTGCTTTGATCGGAATCTATACCATTACATCAACACCAGTCAGTTCAGCTTCTGTAAAAGTGTATGTGGCGGTAAAATGTGAAGGCTCCTCTTCCATGTAATTGCATGTAACAGTTCTTGCTGCGTTGGCTGTAGAATCTAAACTCGTGTAACAGGTGGGAAGCAAGGATGAATGTAATGCAGATCAATGTAGAGAAGATGTGACAGCATTTTATTAATTATTTGCAGATACGGAATTTCACTGTTTTTTTTTTTTTTTATGTGGGGGGCCTCAGCACAAAGATACTGACATCAGTAGGAAGGTGTAAGAAGTCTCTTGCACAGTGTATTTTTTTGCAAATACTACTTGTATATTCTTATTATATAGAACTGTTTTTTCTAAAGCTTTCACATTCTACTCACTTATTTAGTTTTAATAATAGTTTGTCTCATCTCCTATCTCAGCTCATCTCAGCTCCTATCTAGCGCTCTCTGCACAAATTACAATTAGCAGAGCCAAAGAGAATACACAGTTCCTACCAAATATACTGCAGCAGGTTTTAATTTTTATTTTAAATGAAGAATATAAAACTAGAAATACATTCAGTGGAATTTCTCATTGCAGAAAAAAAATCTGTCTCTAAATAATACTTTGTTACTACTTGCTAGTTTAGATAGTCGCAAAAATTGGGAACGACACATTTAGTGTGCCTTCTTTAAGTGGTGTTAGTTACTATAATTGCTTTTTTAAATGCTTATTGTGCAAAACTTGATTAAATTCAATAACAGATATTTAGACCTTAACCTTGTAATAAATTTTGTTCCATTCTGTTTTCCAGGGTTTGTTTCACCCTGCCAGGAAAGTCAGAGATGTTTATTGGAAGATTTATAATTCGATCTACATCGGATCACAGGATGCTCTGATAGCACATTATCCAAGAATCTATAACGATGAAAAGAACACCTATATTCGTTATGAACTTGATTACATCTTATAATCTTCTTGTTCAGTTGTTTGTGTTTAATGCACAGCTGTTCTTCAATTAAACGCTTCAGATTTGATGATGTAAAATTTTAAAATATTGGAGATCAGTATAGACCTGGTCAGAGGCAGAGCTAGGAATCCAGTAGCATGATTTTTTAAATATGTCCTTGTTTTTTGATGTTAAACAGTTAAAGCCAGTAGTGACCAAGAAAACAGTGATTACAATGTACTGGAGGGATTTCATTTTGGATTCATCTTTATGAAGATTTAGATTTCATTCCTTGTGTTTAAAGGGGAAGTTTATTTGAGAAATAAACATTTGTGTATAAAAACTAATTTGTGTGTGGTTTTTGGACAGAGGGGCTTGTAAAACGAGTCCCTTTGGATTAAGTATTTGTTCATGTAATAAATAGGTGGCATAAAACATTTTAACCCTTTTTGTCATCCCCTAGCTTTTGAATAAATAAGAAAAACATACAAACTGTAGTTAATGTGTGTATCTTTGTCATGCAATAATGTAGCTGTAGTCTGGCTGATGGTTGTAGTAGTGGCAGTTTATTTGCATGGAAAAAGTAGTGTTTAATTGCTTCTCGTTATTGCTTCATCTGCAGTATCCTGGTTGTGGGGGTGGATTAGCTTGTTAAATTTCTGGAAGTTAAGCAGTTTATTGTAAATAGTATGTGTAAAATCAGTTGGGCAAATTATGCATATTGATCACGTTTAGCATGTCTGTTAGCCTGTATGGCTGTGTGGAGGAGGAAAAAAAAAAAAAAAAAAATTATGGCCTGTGCTATAATTCCTATAAAGAGCTAGGAAAGTAATGTCCCCAGCGCCTGAGAAGAGGCAATTTCTAAGTGTGTGTGTGTGACATAGGAAATGCTTCAGCTTGAGATAAGAAAAGCATTTTATTTCCTCATTTGCTTTTTTCCTTCTGTGCGTGTACTAAAAAGAAAAAGGTCTTAATATGTGGCAGTAAACCACATAAAACACAAGGTTAAATTATTCTGGTACTATTGCACCTTATCGTGTGTTTATAGACAACAGAAGGTAGTAGTTGGCTATCAGGCATGTTGTTCTGAGAGTCATTGATTCAAGTTGAGTGAATAAGTTCCATCGTACCAAGTTCAATGCAATGTTGTTAGCTGACTTCTCTCTGCTGTTTTACATAAATGTGCAGTTCTTTAGCTGTTCAGCATGTAAGAAAATTCCACCCTAACTTTCAAGGGCTAAGTTTTTGTTAGGGGCTTGGGGTGGCAGAACAGCAGCTTGGGACCCTTTTGTTCATGAAGGTACTAATTTGTTAGGAACTGAAAGAAGTGACTTCTTTCAGCAATGTGCTTTATTCTAAAATTCTTTAGGTGAAAACAGCTGGAACTTCTTGAAGTCTTTATTGCTGAACTGTTCCCTTGGAGAGCAACACGTGCGTTCTAGTCTATTTCTAGTGCTTTCTCATTTAATAATATTGTTTTTATTGCAGATGGCCTCCCATCTTCATTTCTTCAGTAGTTCTGCAAGATAGGACCAAGCAAGTGCCAATAGAGAGGGTGGAGGGCTGAAAAAAAACACTGAGTTTTGAGAGACTAGCCAAAAGAGAGCTCTGAAACAGGTAGGAATGGATGATGGCTCATGACTTCTAGATGTGTCTTAGCAAAATAGTTATTTTATAAACAAGTCAAATTTGTAAAAATTTTCTAGTAAGATGGAGGGGAGCAACTTCAGCTTGTTCTCATTTTTGTATCTTTCAAGCTCATCACTTTAATTCTCAAAGTCTTTCCATAAATCTTTTTGAGGAAGATACAAACCATTTTTCTTCTTTCCTGAGAAAAGAGGGAAAGGGAAAGGAGATCTGTTTGATGAAACAAAGTTGTACATAAAATTGCGGTGTTCATTGTTGGTTTTTTTGCCATCCCAAGTATCTGGTATGAAATCTGGTTTGAAACAGCATTGTGGAAAGTGCAATGCTTTATATGCCGTGTCATCAGTAGGCCTTTTTTTCCTTCCTGAGACACTTGTGCATCTGTAGAACTCTTGCCTAAAAAGGCCGTCTCTGCATCATAGACTGTTTGATGTGACTTTCTAGGAGCCTACAGCAGCTCTTAAAGAATTTTGCCTATGTTCTTTAGCAACCATACCAAGTTTTATTTGGCACAGGCAGATTAAGGGGGCAGTATCTAAGAATATTGACTTCCATTTTTGTTCTGCCCAAGGGCAAAAAGTTTTGGGGTAGGAAGTAAGGTTACTATCTAGATACACTAGTATGACATCCATCCATCCATCTGTAGACAAACGTTTCTTTTCCAGTACAAATTAAAATCAATAATGAATGGGAAAGTTTTACTCTGAGGCTGTGACTGATGCTCATGTGCAGATTTCTGATTCTGGACAACAAAGGGCAAAGTGTTAAAATGAATGGAAAGATTGGGTCATTGCTATTTAAATTCATTAATGAATAATTAATTGTGCCATTAAGACAAAAAAATAGACTTAATTAAGAAAAAAAATAGACTTAATTAAGACAAAAGATAGACTTAATTAAGACAAAAATTAATTGTGCCATTAATACAGAAAAATTACTGTGTGGTGTTTGGTAAATACAGGTACAAGCGTAAAATCTGAATGTCCAGAGAGTCTCTCATCTTCCTTATTTAAGTTTTTCTGTAAACGGAACCAAGTGTTCCTTCCCAGCTTCCCCCCCTTCACCCCCTGCCCCGCCTCACACCCTTCTGGATTTACATACAGCTCCTAACTTTATCAGTGAATTGCAAAAGAAACTATGGACAAAAGCCTCACTGACAGCCCCGATTCTTCTGAACAGGCTCATCCAGTATACAGAATGAGGTGGAGGGACCTATAGGAACAAAAAGGTATGTGATTTTTGTATTTTTTTTTTTTTAATCAATTACAATGATGCATTTGGAAAGGGGCAGTGAATTAAGCGAGCATAAGCCATACTGCAATAAGCAGTACTGCCTTGGGCTTTTCCTAGTTTAGAATATTTGATTTTACAACTTAATGTGTTTCTTGATTGTAACTGATTTTTTTGTTTGTCCTTTTTAATGGAAAAAAGGATGCAACAGTTGTATATACTGACATTTCCTTGCACTCTCCATCAAAGCATCCCCCTTTACAGCCTGAGCTGATGGAGCTAAAATTAGCCAAGGCTAGCAGTTATCCTTAAGGTACGCTAATCTTAAAAGATTGGGAGAAATGTTTTTGTGTGTTTTGTCTGAGCTACTTTCTGAGAGCAGCAAAAGATAATGATCTAATGTTTCCTCGATTTTATGTTCACTTGTAGTTAGATTCTCCTATACCTCTGTCTCTTCTGATATAATTTCACACACATACACCCCCTTCACTCCTACTGTTCTGATTCAGTTGTACCCACTTCATTTATACCTCATCTTTCCATGGCGTCTATCTAATCTGCATCTCTCCCCTCATTCTCTGCACTGAAACCTGTACACCTCTCCCTGTGTCTGTATCAGACTTCTTTTCCCCCTGCATGTCTTGGCACGGTAGCTGTGGTGGCAATGAGGGCATGAAGAGAGAATCTTGCTGCCTCTGTTTGTTGCACTTGCAACTGCAGCAGTTCCTGGATGCATAAATAATCGGTCACTGCTGGAAAATTCTTACTCTGCTTCTGCTGCTAAGGCTGGAGCGTGCCAGGTACAGGGGGGTCTTGAAGAATATAGCTGCCAAACTCTAACGTGTTTTGGAAAAGACTAGGGAGTGCAGCGTGCATGTATATCTATACTGGCAAGGTTGAGTCCGGTCTTCCTTGCCCAGCCTGAGCTACATGGGCTATTCCTCTGCCAAGTAAAGTGGAGATGGAGCCGGTTCAGTGGCTTTTTACATTCCATTTCTTGATCCTATAGTAGAGTCATTGTAGGAGTGAGATGGAGCTTGTCAAGGTGTTCCTGTCAAGACAAGGAAACAGGATGCCAGAAGGTTACTGAAATGCTAGATTTTCTGTGATGTTGTTTTGTGTGTACCTCCAGAAGGAACACCGGAAAGCTTATTCCAAAGCACAGCAGAACTTCAAGCCTGAGTGTCTGCTCGAGGTAGAATTGAGGAGTTTAAGTCAACAAAGGTTTGCAAGTAACCCTGAAATGCATTGGCAATTGTCATTACAGACATAAGGTAAATTTTAGTTTACCCTTTTTTTCAGAGACCCTGAGATTCCTTAAGGAGTAGCAGTTTTTTCACAACAACAGAAGTTTGATGCCCAACATAAGGTTTGGGGTTTTTTTTAACAGAATTTCAAAGAATTCTGCAGCAAAGTATGGATGTGATGATTTTTAAGTAAAATTGCATATAAGAGTCCTTAAAAATTAGCAAAACAGGCTTCCAACGTTTTGATCTTGTCAATGAAGGAATTTTACTCTCTGAAAAATGGTTCATTACAAAGTAGCTTCTAGCATGTTAAGAAAGGTTGGAACTTGGTATGGTTGTAATAGAATGGTCTTAACAATAAATGATAGGAAACCTTAAAAATGTTTGTTATCACTGTGGCATACATTCTGTTCACTAGCTTTACAGACAAACCAAAGTGTTTTCCTTATCAGTTTTACATCCATGTGACTCCCAGAGATTACATGGTACAAGTTTTTTCTCTGTTACTTTTCCCAAGTTTGTCTCTTAAGGCCACTTTGTTAAACCTTTTGGTGCAACGGCTGTTGTGAAATCAAGTTTCAGACAGCTTTGCATCACACTGATTATTCTCCTACACGTTTTTCTCCAAGCTAAGCAACATATTTTCCCTCTATTTAAGCTGCTGTAATGAATACGCTCGTTACTAATAGACTGGGGTGGGACGGGAAACAGCTTTCAAATTTGTGGTTCTTCACTAAATGTAGGAAGTGTTGATGTGTGAGTAAAGTGATTGCCTGTTATTTAATGTACATCTGTGAACCAACTGCAGAATCTCGCTCTTTGCCAGTGGATTAAAAAGGGAAGAGGTAAATGTGACGCTTTCTGTGATCCAAAGTATAAATCTGTACACCAATGTGATACTGCATGCTCATCAGTAGTAGCTGAAAGAGATTTCTGCTGCCCCTGGCCTCCAGTGCTGGCTTTCCCTCTGGCCCATGTGGTTTAAACTGCAACCTTCCCTATGCTTCCCTCCCAGTTGTATCCCTTGAAACTGTTGTGGGATGATCTGGGGCTTGTTAAGGCCTCCAAGAAGCTTGGTTAAGAGATCCAGCTCACAGCTGGGTGAGGGGTGCCTCTTCTTTATCCAGTTATGAGCAATCACACCTAACGCAAGCCCCAGACCGAATGTTTTGGAAGTTATGAATAAATTGTTTTATTTGCAGGCAAAACAGCAACAAATGTTTTATGAATTGTGAATAAATGAGGGAGTAAATTAATGGACTTGATCTGTTCATCCCAAGACTGTATCTGATGGGTCTCAAGTCAATTGCCTTGTCACCTCTAATCATAATTAGAGTTTCAGGTTTTCTGAAAGCTTGCTTTCTTGATGAAAA